AATCTCATCCGAGAAATTATTGTAATTCAAATTTTTCCCGGGGCGTACGATAATTTTACGCCCCTGTGTCCATTAGACGAACTAAAGTCTCTGGGATCACTGGTTATATGGTCTATAGCGAGCGTGCTTCTACTATCTAAGCTCTGTGGTATTTTAAGGTTATCAATATAACTTGATAAAAACAATTAAAAATTAAATTTATTCTTTAATTAATATTACAGTACAATAGATATTGTATTTTATTAATAATTGACCGCGATTAATTTCATAGTTTTACAATTTTTTGTTATAAAATATGATTAATAATTTTCAACCTGAATTTTCATTTTGTTCTTGGTATAACCAATTTAAAAAATGCTCATTAGTAGCTACTGTTATACCAATTTCTGATGATGTTTTGAAATACTTACAGTACGATCCATTTGTATTACCTTTGGAAGCTATAATACATAGCTCGTCCGATAATGAATGGAATGATTCTTCTTTACAAAATGATGAGGTATTTATGAATTATATTTAATTTTTTTTTAAGTGTAATAAATATTTATATTGTCATTTATAGGATTCAGAGTATCTGCCATCGTTTCCAAAATTTAGCAAAAGCATACAAGATGTAATTGATGAATATGGGTCTGTATTTATTAAAAGTAACTGGAGCTCACCTTTAGTAAGAAGAATATCGTATTGTTCACTTTTATTAATCACCATCATATTGTTTTTCAATATTGATAATATGCAAATTCATTCTTTAAGTAATATCATATAATTTCTCTAAGGATGCAACATGGATGGCACCAACAAAGAGTCTACAGTGTAAGACTTTAGAAGAAGTATATTTACTTTTGAAGAGTTCAGACAGAATAGCGAATAATTTAAGCATTCTTAAACGTTGGTCAGATAGAGAAGATTATCCTAAACCATGCTTGGTATTGAAACAATGGCGGGATATAAATCCTTGCGCAGAATATCGATGTTTCGTCATAGATGATGAACTTGTTGGTAAATATTATTGCTTACATTATTATGTGCTTGTCTCATTGTTTTTGTGTGTGAGCACTTTTTAAATATATAACTAATTTTAATACTTACAGGAATTAGCCAGAGAAATTTGTCGCAATATTATACCTATAATGAGTCAGAAAAGTACAATATAAAAGCTGATATTGTAAAGTTATTCACAGAACAAATTAAAGGAAAATTTTCATTGATTAGCTGTGAGTTAATAATGTGCCTATTAATAAATGTTTTTTTTCTAACATGTATAAATGATGTACATATATTTTACAATCATTTAGATTTTATATAATGCACTTGTTATTTTTTTTTTCCTTTTTTGAAATAATTTTCTATAAAATTGTTCACAGATTCATTTGATGTAATACGCAATGAGAGTAAGAATATAAAAATAATAGATTTTGGCCCCGTTAATAAATCTACTACAGAAGGAACTCTTTTCACTTATGAAGAATTACAAAATTATATTAGCGATACACCTGAATTTAGATTCATTGCTCAAAATATTGGTATTCAACCGACACACACAAAACATTTCTGTGCTCCGCAAGAAATTAATGAATATTTTCAAACATTTAATGATGAGTTCAATTTAACAAGTGCTATTCAGAAGGTAAATAACATTTGTATATTTCTATAATTAACCCTTTGACTGTGAATAGCATCTATAGGTGTCTAATGTAAATTACCTGCCTATAGCGGATAAAGCACTATTATCATGTTTTGATTCTAAGTGCACTGTAGTCAAAGGTTTAAGGATATAAATTATTCAATAATGTAAATTTATATAATTTGACACTCTAGTGGTTTCTTGTGTTTGATTAAATATTATTTTCATTTTTCCTTTTCTTTTTTTTTACAGGAAATAGAAAAACAAAATCAAGAACAAGAACAAGATGAAATGATAGACAGTTAAAAAAGTACTTAAATATGTATAAAATTGTACTAAAATAACTATTTACCTTGTTTATAAAACATTATATACTTTTGTATTACTAATAACTTCATGATCATTCACCTGTTGGAACTTATTAAAAAAGCTTTCTTTTTTTATGTAAGACAAACTTTTATAAATAACAATCGATAGCTTAAGATCCAAAGAGTAATTTACTTCTTAAGGATAATAACAAATATAGGTGCCCGTATTATTTAGATAAATTTTGTACAAGGGCTCCTTGTAATCATCAATTTGTTTAAAACTTCAACACAGTTGTAGGAGATATTAGGACTATGCACTGTGCAAGCAGTAAGATTCAATATTCAACTGTTTCCAAGAAAATGAAAAGTTTAAAATATAATATGTGCCGATGGGTTGAAAAGTTTTGAACCTAATACAATGAGTGGAAACCATAAAGTTCAAAACTTTTCAACCCATTCTTGTTTTAGGCTCAGGACTTTTTAACTCATCAGCAGGTATTAGGCATACAACAGAACTTTTCCTTTTATTGGAAATAGTTGAGTATTGGGTCTTATTACTTGCACAGTGCATATAGATTTAATAGATCTCTACAACTGTATAGAATGTAAAAAAAAACGGTGTTTTGAAAGTCTGATGATCCTTGTTAGATGACTTATTTTTTGTCTATAGAATTTTAGTCGACCGTATAAACTTAGCTATTGCATTTATATATTTTTAGTTTATGAAAAACAATTCGTTTAATTATATATCTACGAAGGAGACAACGTCACAAACATATAAATGAATACACACGGAAAAGGATGTTTTTTTAATACAGAACTTCCATTTTTATTCTGTCAGACCCTCTTCTATCATTACATTACATAAAACGATTAAACGCTATCCTATCGCTTGAAAGAATTATCATAATATTGCAATATTTTTCGAGCCGTCGGCTTTATCGAGCGACGTCCCTTATATAGAAAATATGTCTTGTTTATGTACAATATGCAACCTTCTAGACTCAAGTTTGAAAACAGATCCTCGATATATGTATGTACCGCCGGTCAAGTCTCTTCGTTATTCATGTTGTACAGTCACATCCATGGAGTGTGTATATATATATGTGTATGTGTGTGTGAGTGGGCGCGCGCGTAGCTGTGTGCTTTCGTAACATTCTTTCTTCATTTTTACTACTCTCTTTTCGAAGGATAAATTAAGAAAATTAATTAATTGATATTTTATTTCGAGATATCACTATTTCGAAATGGATCATTATCGGATATTTATATAGATATATTTATATATGTATGTATATATAAATACATAGTTCAGACGCCTATATGATTAATAATACTCGCTATACGTGTTATGTGTGTATGTGTGTACCGAAGTTGTGTGATCAAATAATTTTCAAATAATTTTCAAATAATTTTCAAATAATTTTCAAATAATTTTTTATATTTAATCATTATTTTAAATGATTTCCTCTTTAATAAAACGGATATATCATAGAAGCAGCAATTTGTGCAATATATCATTATTTTATAACTCCTTATTTTCTCAATCGGGTATATATTTACATATGAACATATGAATCTATTCATTACGCACATGTCTATATGAAAATACGTACATCGATTACGTACATCTATCACGAATAAACGTGGGGTAGAAGGTAGGTAGCCTGTTACGCCCATTGTTATTTTAACCCCCCCCCCCTGCCTCATTGCAAATGCGTTTTATAATTGTACACTGCTTTAAAACGTGTCATCTTGTGGTCTAATTGGAATATATATACATATAGATGGTTACAAATATACGCATACATACATGTATATTCCAATATATATACATATATACGTACACGTAGGAATAATTAAAATAATAATAATAATAATAATAATAATAATAATAATAATAATAATAATAATAAAAAATAATAATAATAATAATAATAA